TTTAATTTTGAAAAGACTTACAATTGTCTTAAATGTGATTGTTCTCAAATTTAATTTTGAAAAGACTTACAACTGTCTTGAATGTGATTTCTTTATGTTTGTGACGGAATGTATGAATTTCGAGATGAAGTTGGGGAATTAAGGATGTTTGTTCTCAAATTTAATTTTGAAAAAACTTATAACTGTCTTGAATGTGTTTGTTCTCAAATTTAATTTTGGAATTACTTACAACTGTCTTGAATGTATTTGTTCTCAAATTTAATTTTGAAAAGACTTACAACTGTCGTGAATATGAATTCTTTATGTTTGTGATGTAATGTATGAATTTCGAGATAAAGTGGTAGAAGTGGATTTTTCAGTGCATACCTACAATTAGCATTTCAATTCTTGTCAAGTGTCCGTAATATCAAAATTCCCTATTAAGAGGAGTTTTAGAGAAAAAATTCCACTTTCACCATTCCTATTCATTATGGTGGCCAAAGCCCTCTTTGCAATCCCAAAGTTTTACAAGAAAAACTAACTCCTCGCCATTCCAAGTTTTCACATCAAACATCGACTCGTTTCTAGCTCGCCAATGGACCAAAGCGTGGCCCTACACACCACAAACCATCTCTTGCTTAAACCACCCCAACATTATGATTCAACTATTGACTTGATAGAAGATTCAACCGAATGTGATATGATCTAATTAATTCCCCACCATTGAACCATAAAGCAACACACAAGCCAACGAAAATGAAATCTAATGAGAACTTTATAAAATTAAGATTCCTCGAATGTGGTATATGATCTAATTAATTCCCCACCATTGTAAGATAAAGCAAGTAAAATGACGTCTAATGAGAACATATATACAACGTTCCTCAAACAAATCGCCCACAATCATAAAAGGGCAAATAATTGATTGCCTATTTCCAACTTGGAAATTAGACCCATGCTGGCGTCTCTGGATGATTCTTGTAACTTACCCTTTATTTAAGAAATCCTCTTGCTTTTTTTTTAATAAAAAAATGACTGCATATTTGTATTTTCCCGTCACAGAATCATTTCTTCATTGAGTTTTCAGATGATCTTATTTTCCAATTTTAAGAAATTAGTTGAACATACTAATTAATACGCTTATACATCGAAGTTATTTTTAGGACCTTCCCAACAATTAGGTCCTTGGTCTTTTCATGCTACCATAATCTTCTTCAGTAGCAGGTTTCTTTTGGAAAATGTACAGGTTTCTTCACCTTCACCAACCTTTTATGTCATAAGAGTCCTTTGCAGTTAAACTTAAGACTTGAAAGAGAATAATGGTGATGAGATCAATAGAAAACACTTTAAAAAAAAAAAGAAAAAGCCTTTCCCAACAGTTGGATGGATTGCACAACACCTCAAGAATTTTTCCAAAATCCTCATTACAATTTTGTTGAGAATTACATCATGGATTTGGTGGGCAAAGTTCAAGATAGTTTTCCCTCCTTATCTTTTCTTTGAATTCATGACCTCCATGGATTCGATCAAATTAGTTTTGGATATCTCATAATCAAATTAACCGAATCATTTTCTAAACTAACTGAAATTGAACCAAATTACAATAATAATTGAAAAATTGAAAATCAAAATAGTTTCATTCAGTTTTTAAAAATCAAATTAGGGGAAAATAGTTTTAAATAATTACAGCTTTTTGATTTGTTGGTTTCCTGATTCTCAACTAAAGAGAAATTGGTGCAAGTGCAACTCACATAGATACTCTCCAAAATCCTCTTCAATCTAAGCTATACAAAAACTAAAATCAAATTAAATTTTAACTATAATTAACAAAATCCACGAGTTAAAATAATAAGCGATCAACAACATAAATGAATCAGATTGTGACCGAATTGATATTAATTTTGTATATGTTAAAGATATAAAAATATGTATAAAAATATATATAAAAAATTTAATAAAATTTTAACAACTTTTATTGAGTTAATAGATATAATCTTTTGAATTTGGCCTAATTTTGCCAAATTAAATTGTAGGAGGGGACATGGTCCTCCATGGTTCTACCTTCTAAGTACCATCTCCCCTTGCATTGAAGGTTTCCATTCAAATGCAGAAATAGGCATAGGATGGATTTACGAGACGAGAGAGGATACATATTCCCGTTAGTAAATAAAATTTAAAAAAAATACTGAGATATGAAATGAAAAAGAAAAAGATACAGATGGAAAGTGGGCCATGATTTGCAGTGTGCAACACTATGCAATTGTAACCTACAGCCGTAATGGCAGATACAAGTGGGCCAGTGACCACGTGTACTCGGCCATCTAATAATGCATTTAGAAGAGGTTCAAAAGGCTTAGCGTCCGCCCCCGTTTGTCGTCCATACCCGACGCTGTAGCCATATTTGGACGACATGGCCAGCACAACTTTTACTACTATCCAACCACAAATATAATAAGGCCATGAGGAATTTAATTATTTAGGTGCTACAAATTCGTATATTCAATTAAAGGATAAGGTTGAAAATGATTAAGTTTGGTCTGGGAATGAATCCCCATGTTTTTGATCATTTTGGTGCAGGAATGAGTTGAACAAACAATGACAACACCCGATCCTTGGTCTCGCCATCTTCAATAGCATGACCATCGCCATTCTGGCACATGCACTGGGACATCCTCGGAAGGTTCATAGCAATTTCAATAAATATACGAGAGAAAGGAGATTGGCAATTTTATCTTCATTCATCTCTTTTTTATATTACATCAATCAACTTCGTTATGTGCTCACGAGCATCTTCTACGGAAATTCTATTTCCATATGTATGATATTAAATTGATTTAAGAACATCACTTCTTTTTAGATCATATCAATAAAAAAATCTAAAAAAAAAGCATTTAATTATAAGACGAATAAAGTAAACAATGAAATCACAACTATATAAGAGGTCTTCATTAGGAAACTTTAAGTATGATTAAGATTTTATATATATATTGCTTACCGATAATGTTTCAAGATCGTCTGCTAATCATAGAATTACGGATGGCCAATAGACTATATTGGGAAAACATTCCTCGAAGCTTCGCAATCCTTCCTTTGTTATTGGATGCGATACTAAATAAGCATGGACAAGCACAACTGAACTTGACGTTGAAATCCAAGCATTATCGATGTACTCTTGTAGGGGTTCGCATATGTCCACTGTAATACCATATTGCCTCCAACAAATAAGCTTTACATAGATTTGCCCACTGAACATTAATGACCAAGTGAAACATGTCAGTAACAGAAATTGGAATTCATAAACAAAGGGACAAGAAGACGAAGAAAAATCTACGTATTGGTTTTACTACCAGTTTCTTGAAGAAGGGAATAACATGTATTCCTTGTCCCTTAAGAGTACCAAGAGCCATTTCATTTATGGAATTGTAAAGCCATTTCATAGTTCGGAAGTCTTTGTATCTGAATCTCATTGATATCTCATCTGAAATTATATCATATTAATGCTTAAATATTCATAAGAAATATATCAACGGCAACTAAATCGGATACAATTACAACAACCAACCTCTCAACAGCTTTTGTGAAGAGCTCCAACTCATCTAAGTTGCCTTAAACATCATAAACATCATCTATAGTTGTTACTAGCGCAATGACCTTTGTCTAAATTCTTTTTACATTTTTGGAACTGTGGACCAAATATCATTCCCACACTCCATAAAAAGTTGTATAAGGTGTCATCGAATGTTGAAATTGACATTGTTCTTAAAATTCTTATTTCTGTGAGTTATAAGAGGATAGGAAGTATATCATTAAAATGATCAACTAAATGTAATACTCCTTAAAGTTCAGGATAAAAAAAAAAGAATCTGGTCAGTCTATCAATGTGTATGGTTCTAAAATTGTCTTCAAGAAGGAACATAAGTTTTCTTTTGTAACAAAAAAAGGGCATTAGAAACAAGATTGTCTTGGGGATGGTGGCCAATTAGGCCAGTAGGATTGGATACAAGATGGAAAAGTTTCCCTTGAAGTATCTAGGAATGCCCTTATGGGTTAAGACCAACTCAAAGGAGATGTGACAACCAATGGTGAAAAGGTTTTAAAGTACATTGGCAAGTTGGAAAGGTAGACTGTTGTCTATGGGGGTAGAGTGACCCTTATTAGGTCAACTCTTGCTAGCAATCCTTGTTTCTATATGTCTTTATTTAGGATGTTGGTTGGCATGAGTCAGCGAATTAAGTGAATTCAAAGAAGATTTTTGTGGAGTGGAGCGACAGATGAAAGGAAGATTCATTATGTGGACTAGGGACTGATATGCACTTACAAGAAGTATATAGGACTTGGTTGGGTTAACCTTTCAACTAAAAACTCAACACTACTAAACAAATGGATTTGGATGTATGGGAATAAGAAAGATAGTTTGTGGAAGAAAGTGTTGGCGGAGAACGAAAGAGGTGACCTGAAAGATCGCATCCCTGGGGTTAAAAGGATGAATCGCCAACCTTTCATT